CCCGCCCCCCCACCCCCCCCCCCCCCCTCTCCTTCCTCAATCCTTTAAAGATTATTTCTTCATTGTAAACAGCTTGAATCCCTACCCAAACAGTTTGACCACATGAGACATAGCCACACCCAGCAATAAAGCACACTACAAAGCACAAGTGGCCCAAGCCAAAACATAATTGTTTTCTGGCAAGATTTTGAAATTTAGTTTTTCAGTAATTAACTATGGTATTTTCTTCACAGGCTATTAGGAGTTCAGATTAGGATCTTTTTTAATAAACTTCTCCATAAACGCATAATAAACAAAAACATAAACTTCTTCATAGACTAAAATTAACTTATGCGTAAACTAACTTCTAGAAGTTTTCTCATATTAGCTTCTCCATAAACATATATTTTTTAATTTATGCATAAGTTAATTATTTATTATAAAAAAAAACTAATATGATTTTGACTTTCCATTTTCTTCTCTTATAAATGTTCATAAAGAAATTTACCTAAAGAGCTTATCCCTATCCCTGGCGGAGTAACAAGGCTTTTCAATTAGGGGATTAGCATCAAGAAACAAAACAATTTATTTATACATAACAACTCTACCCGTAGCAGAGTGATAACGAAACAGTACTTGTTCACTCAGGTTGCAACTGGATTTAATTGAAAAAAGAAAGCGCGAAAACTGAAGAAGAAACAGCTGTAGATACGACAAGAAGCAGAGACAGCATTGAGAATTTTGTTTCCCAAAACAATCCCAGGAAAAGAGGAGAAAAGCGTGCATGTATTAATGCAGGAATCCAATTCAGCAACCATGAGATTCGTATTTTAAATGCAATGGGAAGAAAAAGCAGAATCAGATTCGAGGGTTTTGGAGTAACAAGAGTAAGGAGTGGGTCCGAGGAAATTAAAAAAGGATCTGAAAGAAAGAAAGGTTACATATTCGCAGAGAAGTTGAAGCTCTTCTTCGAGAAGATGTTGGCCATCTTTGACCTTGGAGATCCAGAGGTCCAAATCCATGTTCACGGAGAGAGGCAGAGCCAGAACCAGTGAGTCAACCTGCCTCTGCCTTTTGCTTTATTCCTAACCCATTCACTTTTCCTACTAATTACTCTTATGCCAACACTAACACTAAACTCTCATTTTTAACATCTTAGATTAACATTAATAATTTTTTTTAATTGTTGATATTGAGTTTAACTTTGTTTTTGCACCATTTGTGGTCTTAAATCGGTCTGTTAATTTAAGTAGGTTTGTCACTTAGAACATCCCTAATTAGGTTATTTATAAGTAATTTCTTGTGTCACATCATTGCTACATCAGTTTAGTTCTGATCTACTTTATGGGTTGCTTAAATTTTAGCAAAGTTTCTTCTGTAAGCAATTTTGCTAAAATTTAAACAACCCATAAAATAATATAAGCAATTTTACTAAAATTTAAACAACCCATAAAATAAACTAGAACTGATGTAACAAGAGATTGCTTTATAAGTAACCTCTATTAAAGATGCACTTATATAATTAATACTTTCATCTCTAAAATTGTGGAATTTGAAATTAACTATTTTTTATAGTGGGTCATCATAATGGGTCTAGTAATGAAGATTGAGATAATATTTATAAAATTATGTTATTCACATTATAATTGTTGTGGATAAGGAAAAAAAATACTCTTATTAGTCTAGTTCTACTGGTGAAGCAATGATAACACATAATTTGATTGACTCCTCTAAAATAAAATTTTATTTTGAAAAATAATGTGCAAAAATATTTATTGATTAAAAAATAACTATGAATATTATAATTCATTTTAAATTTTATTATACATATATTTAATTTCATTATAATTCTCTATTCTTAATTTTTTGGTTATAATTATTATTATATTTTATCTTCACTCTTCATTTTAGAAAATATAAATATAAGATGTCATGTTATTTAAACGAGTGACTTGAATTAAAATGACAATAAATAAAAGAAAATGTGAAAGATGAATAATTAATAATTAATACTTTATCATGTGTAATAGCTAGATTAAATGTTTATGTGTAACGTATATAAATAAATATTATAGTTAAATATATAAATTATATTTTTAATTTATATAAATAAATATTTTAAATATATAAATAATATTTATATTTATGATAAATAATTTATATTAAGGTATAAAAATTTTATTTATTCATTATTTATTTTAATGTATTAAAATTTAATCCATAAATAATCTTGATAAATTAAAATAGAATTAGATTTGAAGTTGAAAAATCTTTAAAATCCTCTTATAAAAGAAATTTTTTTAAAAAAAGTTAATGTAAAATTATAATTCATGTTTTTTATATAAAAGTCAATTATTTCATGAAAAAATGTGATGAAAATGTAATTTGATTAAATTAAATAAATATTAATTATATGATAAAATCTTACATCAAATTGTGTAAATTGATTAAAAAAACATAAATATAAAAAAAATATTGGAAACTTGTGAATAATCTCAATTAAAAATACTGTGAATAAATGAAAGACACATGAAGAGAAAAATTGTATTTTTTTTTTTTTACTGAAGAAAAATTGTATGTTAAAAAATAGAAAATGTATGAATATAAAGTATAAGAGAGAGACAACTATTTCATGGATCATCAATTAGAATTTGTTTTTTTTATGTTAAATTACTTAATATTGTAATATGATTAATCGAGTTTGAATTATTTTAAATTTTTATATAATGTAATACTTTATACAAATTTATTGTTCAAAGACATGATTAAAAATATTAAATATTCATACATTTTACTTGTTTTATAGCATTTTTTGTTAAAAATAAAAATAAAAATTTTATTTTATGGTGTTAATGTGTCATTTATTTAATTAAAATTAAATTAATTATTAACTCAGCATTTTGTTTAATTATGAGAATTTGTTAAAATAATATAATGAAGTCATTGAAATATTTATATTGTTTATAAGAATTTGTTAAAATAATATAACAGTCTAATTATATAACTATTTATAAAAAAAACAGTCATCATAGAAGCAATTAAGTATCTTTTTCCTTTTTTTTTTTTTTTTGGTTCGTCCCTGGAGTATCCACCGTCGCCAGCAGTGACTAATCTCCTCGCTACGTTGGAGGCACCTCAAAGAGTGGGATAGCTGACTCCAAGATTTAACGCGGCTGCATACAGCATGTTCCTCTTTTAAATCAAACAAATCAGTTATATTCTTTTTGTCTTGTCTAGAAACAGTTATTATAATTGTTATTTATTATTTTATATCTATTTCTTAAGTCACTTATCTTATGATGGTCTAATTTTTTTTTTTTTATCGTAATCAATTAACTACAATATTATTTTTTACATATAACTCTTAGGTTCGATAAAATCAATCAATTAAAAGTAATAGTATAATAAAATTATAACTATAAAAATAATTTACAAGCATATAATTACAAATCAATTAAAATTGGTTTATTGGAATGGGAAAATAACATTAAAAATAAGTTATTAAAACTTAAAAGTAGATTATACGTGTTATTTAAAAAAAAGTACAATAATTTAAAACAGATTAACAAATTAAGCATGAGATTGATATATTAAAAAGTAAGAACAATATTAAACCCAATAAAAATTACTGCTATAAATATATTAAAAATTGAAAAAAAAATATATATATATAATTATCTTATTAATATAAAATAATAAATATATGTACTTGATTAAATTATATTTGTAAAATACTTTAATTATCTTATTTTAAATTATTCTTCATTATCATAATTAATATTTTGTATTTTTAATTATTTTAATACCGAACTAACAGCACCTACAAGTCTACAACAATAAAAATATCTTAAAAAAGTATCTTACTTCATTTTATTATATTTAACATTTTCACATTATATTTAAGTAATTCAATTACATTTTTATTCAATAATAAAATTTTAAATAACTTATAAAATACTCACATTTATTTATTTAATTTTATAAGTATACAATAGATATAAAGCATTTTTTATTATAAACAGTCCTATCTTATATAAGATGCAATACTTAAAAATAAATAATCTATAATATCAAACTCTCCAATAAAAAAAATTAAAAAAAACAATTTTTTAAGTTTAAGATAATATCATATTTTCAAAGTTGGTGATAAGAATTAAAATAGAATATTAAAAAAAATTATTTAAAATCATAATTTTGGAGAAAAGTCTCTTGGATATTTTGGGTTGTTAAGATATGGATATAATTAGATTCTACAAACCAGACAATCTACAGAGTATCCTAACAGAAAACTGAACACTGAACACTTCTGTTGCAATTAACAAATTCAAATTCATATATAATAAAATTTAAAATTAATTAAAATATAGATAATTTATCTCTTAATCAGTTATTATTATTCTAAATTCTCTGAGCAAAATCCGAAAAGATAAATACAAAGATTGTTGGAAAAGTAATATAAATATGGTATATCAAAACATCGGTCGTGTTTTGTGCATTCCTTTTGCTGTTTCCGTTGTTCTCTCTTCGGCTGTTCACTTTCCTTTAGCTGTTGCAGCATTTTCTCACCAGCGCCGCCCCATGGCCCCCGCAAAGTCGATGAATCCGTCGCAGTCTCGGTCTCCGATCCCTCCTCCGGTGGCGAAGAAGGTGGAGCACGCCATGGAGTTGTTTGGCGACGTGAGGATCGACAACTACTACTGGCTCCGGGACGATTCCCGCACCGATCCTGAAGTGCTCTCCTACCTCGACCAGGAGAATGCCTACACAGATTCCATCATGTCCGGTTCGAATCCTCTTTCATTGTCTTTCTTATTTTTCAAATTTTCTCTTCTTATGAATATAGAATTGGTACATTGCACACCGTAACCTGTAAGCAAGACTGTGGAAGTGTGGATTTATTAATTTCAGTAACTGATTGCGTCTATATGATTATAAATGAGTAAATACTCTAGTCTTTGAATTTGGAACGCTCTTAGTTTGAAATTAAGAATTTGTCGTATAAGTGTTTAGTATGTCAAATAATTCTTTTAAAATTAACTATTTACTAAGAGTTTGTTCAGATAAAATTATATATAAGTTTAGAAGTGTATATAAGCTTCTGCGTTTCTCAGAGTTTTTCAAAATATTTTCTTATAGAGAAATCTTAAAAGCAGTTTTAATTTGTATCCAACCAGTTTATATGTTTATTTAAACTATTTTTCTATATTTTAAATAAGTAATTTTCTATATTTTTTTTTAGTGTTTTTTTCCTTTAAAAAAGCAATTTTTTATTCTCTTTTTTTACGTGTTTGTTCAATTTTTTTCTTTAAAATAGTAGTTATTTATTTATTTTTTATGCAACTTCTATCTCTTTCTTAAAGAATTATTTTTAAAAAAGTACTTCTTTAGAAATACTTCAAACAAACATACCCTTACTCTCATTTTGGTTTATATATCAATATTATTAGTTTAGTCACTTTTTTTTTTATAATTTTGGACTAATATGATTGTGAATTTGCACTTTTAAAAATATATTTGGCAATTTTTTAGTTTCAGGAATTAATATGAATATGACAGTGCTTTCCAAAGTTATGAGCTAAAATAACTCGATTATGAATCTATCATGTTTGGTTTCTAAATTTCTTAGTTCCATCACTTTTGTTTCTTACTTTTTTAAATTTTGAACTATTGAACTAATATGATTGTGAAATTGTACTTTCAGGGCCGTGTCTTATATTTTTTAGTTTCAAAGACCAATATGATGACTTTCTTCAAATTTAAGAGTTTACTCCTTTTTTTTTTTGAAGGAAAATTGAAATTGTACTTTCAGGGCCGTGTTGCTAATGTTTTATAGTCTTTTGTTATATGGAAACGGTTCATTGTTAACATACCTCACCAAGAAATTTATTGAGTTCATTTTTTTTTTGTAGGAACAAAGGAATTTGAAGACAAACTTTTTGCCGAGATAAGAGGGAGGATTAAGGAGGCTGATGTCACTGCACCTTTACGTATAGGGTCTTATTACTATTATAAAAGAACTTTGGAAGGAAAGGAGTATGTTCAACATTGTAGGCGCCTTATACCTAATAGCCAAAAGGTGCCATCTGTGCATGACACCATGCCTACAGGACCTGAAGCTCCTCAGGAACATGTTATTTTGGATGAAAATGTCAAGGCACAACATCACCAATACTACAGAATTGGTACTTTTAAGGTTTGATTTAGATCTTATCATTTTTATGTCATTTTTTTCCACTTTCTTCCATCTTTTCTTTGACTTCAAGTTCTGACCTGCTTTTATTTTATTTCAAACTTCATTTCTTTTCAGTTTAGCCCAAATAACAAATTGGTTGCATATACAGAAGACACCAAAGGAGATGAAATATATACTGCTTATGTCATTGATGCTGAGACTCAAGCTCCTTTTGGAGAGCCGCTTGTTGGTGTATCATACCTTCAATGGGCTGGTGATAATGCTTTAGTTTATATCACAATGGATGAGATTCTCAGGCCTGATAAGGTTGACAATACTCTTCTGGCCTATTATTGGCCTATTTGTTTCTAATGATACTTCTTTTTTCAACGATAAGTAGCAACAACTAAAGCCTTTTCCCCACTAGATGGGATCAGCTAAGTATTGCCATTGTGTTCTGTCCAAAATGAAGTTTTCAACAAGATATTTAATTCTTGATCACTTTCTATATTTTTTTTTTATAATTAAATTAGTTTATCAAGAAGAGCTAAGAACTATATCACATTTTTTTTTCCAAATCTCAAACAAGTTTGTCCAAACCTTTCTCCAACATAGTATTTGAATATATTTACAATGTTTACTTTGACATTTTGCGCCATAATTAATTTTCCTTTTCGGTTGGTCACCTCTCTAAATTATTATACTTGTTAATTATGCTAACATTTTGTGTAATTCAGGCATGGCTTCATGTGTTGGGAACAGAACAATCAAAGGATATTTGTCTTTATGTGGAAAAGGACGATACATTTTCTCTCCATCTTCAAGCTTCTGAAAGCAAGAAATATTTGTTTGTTGCATCAGAGAGTAAAATTACAAAATTCAATTTTTATTTGGATGTTTCTAAGCCTGAAGAGGGTCTCAAAGTTCTCACACCACGTGTTGATGGGATTGACACAACTGTCAGCCATCGTGGAGATCATTTTTTTATTACGAGGAGAAGTGATCAGTTTTTCAATTCAGAGGTCGTAGCTTGTGCTGTCAATAACACCTCCTCCACTACAGTTCTTATTCCCCACAGGGAAAGGTAATACAAGTTCTGTATCATTGCTCAGTTGTTTGACTTGTTTTGTTCATTTTGGGTCACAATCATGAATAAATTATATTTTGGATTGTGAATGTGTGCACCACTGCATACTGAGTTCAAGGATGTAAAATATTAACAAATGTTTTTAGTTTCTATAATATGAACAAGTTTGATTTTGGTCCTCACAATTTTTTTTTCTTTTTTTTTTTTTTCATTCCTCAAAATATAGAAATCACCATTTTTATGAACTAATTTGGTTTGTGCAAAGTATTTTTCTTGGTTTTTCATCCCTCCAAAATCAAAATTCACTATTTTTGGTCCCCTAACATTCATTTTGATTTATTTTAGAAATCAAGAAAAAAAATTAGAAGTGCCACATGCTAACATGATACTGTGTATCAATTGGGATGGTCACTTGATCATTGTTCTCTTAATTACTACTATTTGATATAAAAGAATTGTCTTGGGCTTTCACCTTTCAAATTTAACTTTGGCAAACTGTTCCTTGCATGATATTAGATCCCATTGCAGTTTATAGTGAACTAATTTGCTGTTATTATATTTATATGGTGATTCTTATCATTTCTCAACATCCAAAATCATTAACATGAATAAAAAGTAAACAGTAGATATTCTTGGAGCTTGTGTCTTTCTCTTTCACCAAAACTTACATGGGATTTTCTTTAGTGTTAACATTCAGGAGATACAGCTTTTCAGTGATCATCTTGTAGCATATGAAAGAGAAAATGGTCTGCCAAAAATAATAGTTTATCACCTTCCACCAATTGGTGAACCACTAAGGATCCTTGAAAGAGGTCAAGCTGTCAGTTTTGTTGATCCTGTATACTCAGTGGACTCTTCAAATTCAGAGTTTTCATCTAGCATTTTACGGTTTTCATACAGCTCATTGAGGACTCCTTCTTCAGTATATGATTATGATATGAACGCAGGCATTTCAGTTTTGAAGAAGATTGACTCAGTAAGTTAAAATGGGCATTTAAACTCCTTTAAGATGTTTTAATAGTTTGTTATGTAAATTTCTTGGTTCTATGCATGACTTACTGTTCTTGTTTGCTGAAGTGTTCCTTGCTGGGTATCACATAAATTTGACCTTTTGCTATGTTATGCATGACCCATGCTTCTAAAATATTTCATGTTGTCTGGATTTGTTTTGTTAATTCAAATACAGGGACTAAATTGATTGATGGTTTGATTTGGTAAAGCTAAGAAAAATTAACCTGTAACACTTCCAAGGATCAGATAGATAGATAATAGTCAATTATTTTCTCCACTATGTTTAGATTCGGTTTTTATTGTTTTATTTATTTATAAAATTAGGGACCAAATTGACTGAGTGTCAATTTGAGGGGATATTGAATGATGTTTAACTCTTTTTAAGACGGATCAGATTTAATATTCACGGTATTATGAATGTGCAATCTAGTTCCAACTTCGAGTATATCAAATAGAATGGATTGTTTGTTTATAAAATGAATCATATGGTAAGTAGGGGAACATGTATGTAAAGTTAGGTTTGCAAAGGTGTTTGGTACTGATAGGATTATGGAAATAGTTAAGCTGTTAAGGTAATAATACTCTATTGTTGTTATCATCATCATCATTATTATTATTATAAGTTTTCTTCATTTTCTTGGTTCTTGTTTAATTATTCTCTGTGCCTGTATTGTTCTGTTCCTATTTTACTCAGGTTCTGGGAGGTTTTGATACTACACGTTATGTCACTGAAAGGCAGTGGGCACATGCTTCAGATGGAACTTTGATTCCCATATCAATTGTTTATCGAAAAGATCTTGTGAAACTTGATGGGTCAGATCCATTACTACTTTATGGATATGGATCGTATGAGGTAAAAGAATAGAAGTTTATATAAACTGAATTGCATGTAACAATACCAATTTTTAATTCTATGCTTTTGATTTTTGTATTGGATAATGCTGTACTTTTAAATATGATCGAACATTTTGTCCCTTTTTCTGCTGCTAAAGAGTCATCTTTTGTCTTAACAGAACTAAGATATAGTCATTTTTTATGTTCCTTTGTTATTTCATTGACTGTTTAATAATACTATAATAGGTTTCTGATTCCTTTGTGCTACTAATTGTTCTGCAAGTTGAGATTGTTATTTATTTATGTTCCCTCTTGGATATGGGCGGTGAGCACTATTTGTTAGCCTGTTTGCCCTTTGGTTACAGAGGTTTTCCATTCAGGAATGTGGTCTTTGCACATTTGAACATACGTTCTTCCATCTAGAATCTATAATTTAGTGACCTCACATTGTCAACAGGTATGCATAGATCCCAGTTTCAAATCAGGAAGGCTCTCATTGTTAGATCGGGGTTTTATATATGCAATAGCTCATATACGTGGAGGTGGTGAAATGGGGAGGCAGTGGTATGAGAATGGGAAGCTGTTGAAGAAAAAGAACACTTTCACTGATTTTATTGCATGTGCTGAATATTTGATTGAAAATAAATTCTGTTCTAAGGAAAGACTGTGCATCGATGGAAGAAGTGCCGGTGGTTTGCTAATTGGTGCAGTTCTTAATATGAGACCAGATTTATTCAAGGCTGCTATTGCTGGAGTACCTTTTGTGGATGTTCTGACAACAATGCTTGATCCAACCATTCCTCTTACTACCTCAGAATGGGAGGTAACTTTCTTTTTCTTATTCTGCCATTCCATATGGATATTTGAAAATATTTGAATACTGGTTAATTTGATTCTGGAAATGGATTGGTTGGTGCTCAGGATAGTTAGTTGAAGTTGAATTAATGTATTCTTGATAGTTGATAATGTGTTTTAGCAGGACTTGATTCCTTGTTAAAATGGATGAATTTGTCCAGTCAAGCCATGTCTTTAGAGAAATTATTTCTGCATATTTGTTTCTCATAGTATACTCTAATCTTGTTCAACCATGTTGTGCACTCTATCATTTTCCATTTTTTTGTGGCTTTCACCGGACCTTTTCCCCCTTTTACATTGATCTACAAAATACAGTGTTCCTAATTTGACTTAGTCCTGTGTATTTGTTTTTCTGCGGCCTTAAGCCAGGGAAATTGTTTTGACTATCTTTTCCCTAATGATTAATGGGTATGAATCTTTTTTTTTTTATTGCAGTCCTTTGATTCGGCTTTAAACAGATAGTAATAAGAGGCCTTATGTAGCCACTGATAGTCTTTAGAGATTATTATTGTGTGGGTCTTTGTTTTGTATGTGCTGTCAAAATTCTTGAATTTTATTATTATAGCTTGTCCACACTTACATAATATCTATGATATGTTTTCTCTTGTGTTACTGCAGGAATGGGGAGATCCTAGAAAGGAGGAATTCTACTTTTACATGAAATCATATTCTCCCGTTGATAATGTGAGTACCTTATGGTTGTGCCTGATGTCCTGTAATATTTTGTAGGCTATTTGGCTTTCATTTTTTTCAGCTTGAGCATATTTTTTATTTTCTCCTATATGAAATGGTTTTTTAGGAATCATATTTTTAAAAATCCTCTCATTTTACGCAGGTGAAGGCACAGAATTATCCACACATTCTTGTTACAGCCGGATTAAATGGTAAGCACGTCTGATTCAGTGATTCATGTCACGAAACAACTACTGTTTTGAACTTTTAATATTTAAAGCCAAAGCATTCTTTCTGTGTGATGATTACCGATAATTCGGCTGGAAAATATACTGTTATGTGACATGTGTATCTTATTATCTACTTGCTTATGCTGTAGACCCACGTGTTTTGTATTCTGAACCTGCCAAGTTTGTTGCAAAACTGAGGGATGTGAAGACCGATGAAAACATACTTCTGTTTAAATGCGAGCTTGGTGCTGGCCATTTTTCTAAGTCGGGAAGGTATTTACTCTCAGATTTCTCGTATTTAAAATTTTAGTAAATCTTTAAAATAATAATAGTATCATTAATAATGTGAATATAATTTTATAAGGTGATAACATATTATCAAATAAAAGTCTTAAAATCAAGAAAATATTAAAAATATTATTTGAATTAAAACAAATTTTATTAATTTGATATGATATGTCAAAATTCAAAATAACTAAGGTTATGTAATACTAATTTTTTAGAGAAGAGATATTAGTATATGGGAAGTAATTTAATAAGAACACCCGAAAAAACATGTCATTCACAAGTCTTCTTTGTCTATATTGTGAAGTAATAAGAATATACTCACTCTTAGTTTAATTTAAAATGTACAGAGGGAGTTTTTTTTCACGAAATGATTACAAGAATTATGTTATTTTTTTGAGTATTTTCAAAATACATTTTGTTATATTTACACATTCTTAGAAATATTTTAAATTTAAAACGAAAGTTATAATACTTTCCCACCTCTAATTATGGGAATAAAAATGATTTAAATTATTATATAACTATTTTTCTAAATGAAACATGCACTCATATTTAAGAATGATTGTACTCTTGCTCGATTAAAAGAAAAACTTTTTTTCCCTCGCATATAATTAAGATTCTGATATACATATAATTTTTTTTGTATGTGTTATGTGGATGTAGATTTGAGAAGCTCCAGGAAGATGCCTTCATTTATACATTCATTATGAAGACTCTAAACATGATTAACTAGCTTCAAGTCTCTAGATGCATGAGGATTGCGTAGATGATTGGATTTGAAAATTACTTTTGCATTTTTTTTTCTTCGTAATTTATCTTATTAATGAAGGACGTTGTAATTAAAAATGATGATTTTTTTCCCGTAATTTATCCTCCTAATGGAGGATGTAGCAATTGATGAATTTGTGCGTGTTTGGATTTTATATAATTGTTTATTTTATTAATGGAGTGTGTGTTTGGGTTTTTTTTCCATAATTTATCTTATTAATGAAGAACAACATAGCAATTAAGCCGTAATTTATCTTCCTAATGGAGGATGCAGCAATTAAGGATAATGGCTTTGTGCATGTTTGGATTTTATATATGTTTGAATTAGTGTTAACATGGATTTGGGTTAACAATATTCCTCGCGATATTATCTTTTTATCTTTTAGATCCTTGGTATTTGGAGTCACATCAGATCTGAACTAATTCAAGTTGAATAGTGTGGATCTGTGTAAGAGGATAATTTTATTATTGTCTGTTTTATTCATGAGAGTAAATTTAGAAATCTGGTGTCCCAACAAATTTTTCAAATCTTACTTGAAAAGAGTGAACTCTTATTCCTTGGATTAACAAATATTGTTCTATGGCACACTATGTTTTATCATTTAAAATAGTATCTAAGTTAAATAATTAAAAATGTTTTTTTATATATATATTACGGGTATTTTTAAATTTTGATATGATAACAAATTAAAATAAAAAATAAATGACACCTTTTGGAGAGAGAGAAATGTAGCAAGTTACAATGGTTTCAAAGGCAACGCAGCTTCTTTTGATTAATAAAGGTTTTTCTTGAGCTTGCAATAGTCTTGTGTTCATCCAGCTGGTATTGGAAGTTCGATGAGAATGTAACCTTTCACTGGCTATCATTTTTTTATTTTATTTTCTCCTTTATTAAATGATTTATAGTAATCATTTTTTTTAAAATCCATGGCATGGCTTGAGTGATGAACCATGCTTCTGAACTTACATGGGTCGTGATGGGCCAGAAGAAAATCTGAAATTACCTTTTGCAATTCACAAGCATGTATGTCAATGGTGCAATTCTGTTAGTAAGGATGTGGCAATTGAGGAAGATACTTTTGTGTGTGTTTGCATTTGACATAATTGCTTCTTTTTTAGAGAACAATGTCAGAATTAGTGTCAACATGGATTCAGGTTACTATACCAGCAAGGACGGAGCCAAGGGGGGACCTACGGGTGCCACGGCCCCCCCAACAATTTTAATTTTTTTTTATATACATATATATTACTATATGGCACCCCCTATTTTTAATATAAACTCATATGTATAATTAAATGAATAACCCAAATTTATTTTTTTATTCAACTTTTGGACTTCTGGTACGGCCTGCTATGTGGTATCACTTTGGAATTTTTTTTTTTTTTAAAAAAATGTAGCGCCTCATTTGATTATTCCAATTCTCGGCCCCCCAGTATTGAAATCCTGGCTCCGTCCCTGTATACCAGTGGACACTTTTGAAATTCAATGGGCCAAGCACTAGCGTTAATATCGGAAGCTGTAAAAATAAAGTGGAAAGAATTTTTTCATCAAACACATCCATGGAAAATATATGCATTTAATCTAAGTTATTTTTAAGAAAAATAAATGATGAGCTATTTTAAGTACCTTTTCTGTTATATTTTAATGATTAATATCCATCCTTAATATTAATCTTTAATAATTTAATATTTAAAGTAAAATTATAGTTTTAATTTAATAACCTTGTAAGTATTTAAGGTATTGTATCTAAATCGATTGTTTTTAGATTATTTAACTAGGAAAATAACATATTATTTTTAATTTTTAATTGTAAAAAAGTTTAAATTCTTTAAATTAATTTTGCATTTCTTATATTTCTAAACTTTTAAAAGTTATATTTTTAGACTACATTTATCTTAAATTGACTTAATTCATAATTTTAAATAGTTTCTTTAAAAGAACTTTTGCATTTCTTATAATTCTAAACTTTTAAAATATATATTTATATTAAGTTGACACAAATCATAATTTTAAATACTTTTTTATTTTATACTTTTATGTTTTATTCAAATTAAAAATGATCATAAATATGACAAAATATCTAATGGTTAAACATGAAAAATAGATATTACACTGTTAATTATTAAAAATTATTCTTAATATGATTTTCAATATAATTATTATGAAATCATCCATCTTATCATAAATGAAAAATTTGTGATTAGATGATAATATAAAATTAATATTTTGTTAATTTCCTATGTATCTTCTTTTAAAAATAATTTTATTTGAGACACAATCGAACATTGAATGTGGATACTTTATTTATTTTTTTAAAAGGAATTCAAATTTTAGTTTACCATGTTACAGGAGACTTGACCCAATCCCGTTGGTAAAAAAAAATGAAAGTAATTTTAAACCCAAAAATGAAAATAGCTTTTTCAACAAAGGAGTCAAAGATTCAAATAAAAAAAAGTCAATAAACCTAGAGACAGAACTCCTATAGCAACGGCATTATCATGTAACATTTGAAATTGAAACAAGCATTAAATATGAGAAACAATATTTTTTTCTTAAACTTTTTTCCCACGTTCCCTACTTGCAGCTAATGTGTCTGCTCTAGACAAGATTTTCACACATCATTTTGTAACCAACGTTGTGAATGAGTGGATGAGAATGACATGTAGGACCCCTTACTAGGAAGCACCCATTTGGACTTAAGAAATTAGGGACCTTGTCTTAAAAGTCTTCTACTTAAAGTCTGCAAAATCCAAATTCAGTTCAACAACAATCATCCCACATGGACCAATCTCTTTGATGGCGCAATCACCGCAATCTAACACCAATCACTTACTGGAAAAGCACAAACCAAACCCAACCCAACCCAAAACCCTCCCTCTCTCTCAAGGCCCTACTTGCTTCGCTTCCACTGCCTCATATCCATCCATATTCATTTCTTTTTATACATATCTAATTAATATGATTTTTTTTTTTACTTTGTTGATAATTATTCTTTGTCAAGAATTTAATCAATTAAAATCTCTTTTTTTAATCAAATTTTTTCTTCTAGCATACTTAAATTTGGGATCTTATTTAAATAAATCGAGTGTAATATTACTTAACTACTTGTTAACTTATATCTATGATTAATAATATGTGATTAGACTCTTAATAAGACAATTCAAGTCAATCATGTGATTAAACAGTCATTAGCTGAAATTAAATATGGATTTTACTTTTCAATTCCATACTCACTCACTACCAACCATTAATCAAATTCTTTTTTCTTGGCTAAAAAAGATGTGCAAGGTGCTTCATCGTTTCGGGAATGCAAGATAATTAGCATGGCTTTGAGCAATATCAATGTTGAAGGTTCATAAATCATAATGGAAGAGTATGTCAGATCATGCAGAATCCTATTTCATGAGGATAAATTCAAAAGTATTTTTACATTCAAAATAATAAAATCTTGTTTCTTTGTTGTGTATTAAAAATGAATTCAAACTCGCAACTATATATTGAAGTTCACAAAAGTATTGTTTTCAACTTTAATATAATCATAGCTGAAGAAATCGATTGAGACGCATTTGTCATGAGTTAACATTTATTCATCTTTATTAATTATGTTTGCAAATATGTTGCAGCACATCTTTCAGTTTCATGTGTAAGCCAATGAGAGTGTAAACTGTAAAGTAATGCACAATTAATTGTTCATTTAATTTCATTCTCCATCTCAACCGCAATCTGTGGATCCAATCAATCTTTCAAAAGTGTAAAGTTGCAGAGATTTTAAAGACTTGTTTTAAAATATGTATAACTGGGTTAATAAACACAAGCATGCGTTGTTTAGGTAGTTTATTAAGAAACCATTTGGCTAAAAAATACTGCAATTATTTTAGCTTTATGTGACATATCAATGTAAAATGTATTAATCAAATTAATTTAAACATAAATTTTAAATTATATTATATTTTTCTAAATTCATTCTATTAAGTTTAAAATAAACAAATGCTACTAATTTGAATTGGTGTGAATAACCAATGACTCATGTTACTTAATCAAATGACTAAGATTCGAATTTTAACTTTTTTTATAAATACAAAAAATTTAAATTTAAAGAAAATATTTACTTATTTAATATTTGTCAAATTTTTAAAAGAAATTCTCCGTATTTAATAAAAAATGCTCTTTAGTAATATATAAAATAAACAAATGCTAATGTGATGTGTACATATAATAACTTGTAATGGGATGGAGGTTATTATATGCATATTCCTAAAGAAAGAAAAAAAGACAACTAAAAATTCAATAGAAGGGCTTGGTTACAACATCCGGCAAGTATGACTAATGTTTAACAAATAGATAAGGCATACTTTAAAATATAAGTTTATTAACATAAATTCACTTGTTTCTGCAAAGAATTTGTTAACAAAATACACACGTTTTGTAGAAGATAAATTTTTTCGTGTTTGTAAATTATGATTTTTGAAAATTATAAATTTTAAAAATTATAATTTTGATTAAAATATATTTAATTAATCATAAATATTTTTAAAGATATTTATATATATTACTACATTAATTCGGAGAAAAGAAAGTAACATAACATTTTAGTACAATAAAAATTTTCATTAAACATGAGAATGTTATCTACTCTCATGAAAATAATTTCGTAAAATAATATAGGTAAAAATATTATTAAAAACTATTTTTTAATTAGTAAATCAAATATGAGAAACTAAATTTCTCAATTTAAAAGGAATGCTTGTATCAAACATTTCTTTAGTGTATATATTAAGAAAATCAAAATTAAAACTTACTAAATACTCTTTTTTAAAAATATGTTAAATGTTAATAAGTTATATTTTGGAGAGATATTTTAAGATGATTATAGTTAATTAACATATTTCTCCTAATGAGTATATCTTAACAACACCGTAATAAAAATTTATACTAAATTATATACATCAATCTTTACAATAGATTTAGTTGTTATAATTTAATCATTTATCTTAAATTTGAATCATAGATATATATATTTATGTAAAATATTCGATGAAAAATTTTGTCCTTTATAATATTTTTTACTTACTTCAAACTAGGTTGTTTTTAGTAAAAAATATATATGTAATGTATAAAAAATAAAAGAGTTAAATAAATAAAATTACACCGATTTTCACAATGAAAGAAAAGTCAACCGAGCAGCTAGGCACGAAAGGAATATCATTTTCAAGATTACGGTGAGTATGAAAAAATGTGAGTGAAAATGAAGGATTAAGATCCCAAAAAGAAAAAGTTCTCAATCACCAAAAGAAGTGTCAACTTGCTCCTTCACCACCAACCTAAAATCTTTAACAACAACTTATCACTAATGCTTAATGATACTTGTAAAGATGTTGCATAATTACAAGTTTCGAATATATTCATAGAGAATTCATGTTAATCACAACTTTCAAATATATAAATATATTTTGGTCTCTAAAATGAGTAAACTTTTATTTAATTTTAATAAAAAAAATTATATTTTTTAAAATTTAAAATTATTATTTTTAGTCATTACTATTAAAAGATTAAATGATCATCTTAAATATTATTTATAAATTTTAGTCATATTAATTTTGTGTATGATATTTTTAACAAATTTTATGGATTATTAAAATAATTATTATTAATCTACTTTGAAATAATTATTTAAAACTAAAATGTGATTTTATATTTTAAAATTAAAAATTAAAGAAAATAATTTACAAAGATACTAATAAAAAAATTGTTTTAAAAAATAATGTTTAGAAATTTTAAAAATAAATAATAAATAAATATATGAATCAAAATCAAAACTTATTTGTTACTTAAAATATATTTAAGTTTAAATATTCACCAAATCAGACTAAAAATACATTAAGTTGGGAAGCAGAAACTTTAGAGAGAGAAAAAATAAATGAATAAAAATAGAATAGTAAATGCATGACAAATTCTGAATTGAAAAAAACAATGTGGAAGCATTGCTGTAGAAGCACAAAAATAGAGCATTTTGATGGTATTTAAAATGATGAACAGAACAGATGGTGTGAAAATAAAGAAGATGAACAGAGGAAACTGTATGGCTGTAAAGGAAGCAAGTTAAGCATACTTACTGACAAGGAAAGTCAATATTCATCATGTTTCCAGAAAAATAAATACTGAAAGTTGTTCCATCCTATTTATCCAAAAGGAATCCACCAATTAATACTCTCATCACGATTCCAAGAACAATCTTTAACACATTAGTTTGACATAATCTTTCTATTATTAGTTCAAATTTATTAAATATATATTATTTAATTTTTATTTAAAAAGATTTTGTCGTAATTTAATATTTTTTAAGTGAAACTTAACTGATTTATAAAAATTGTATTAGAGAATGGAAAACACACTCATTTTTCCAAATGTCTAATGTTAGTGCATAAAAATCCTTGAAAGGAAAGTCATGAGGTAGAGGGGAGGCAAGACCGTGCTTCCCTCTCTCAAATGTGTCACAGCCTATTATGTAAGTTAATCAAAGAAAAAAAAATTATTGAGTTAAAAGAAAAATGTTTATTCTAAATTTAATATTGATGTTTTTCTAAGATAACTTTTAACCAAAAGTTGTTAGTTTAAATAATTTGATACTTAAATTCTTTAATTAAAGGTTAGGTTTGATTCTCATTAAGAACATGAAGTTGTGATTACAAATATGACTAGATTATACTTATTTAGTATGAAAGAAAAATGGTTAATATAAAAATCAATAAACATAACATACATATATTAATATTGATTAATGATTATATTTGGTTAATGATTAAATAAAGACTCTTTACATAATACATTATAATTCAATTCAAGATATATTTAGAATAATTGATTAAAAATTAATAATAATTATAATTATTTTATATTTTAAAATATAATTTCTCATTTTAAAAGTTCCAAATCATATTATGCTTAATTTCTTAAAGTAAAGCAAAAATAAAAGGTCCATAAAAATCCAAAGAAAAACGAAGTCCAAGTAAAGAATAAAACATCTTAAGAACCAATATCTTGTTATGAAGACTTAAGTGACAGTAAAACTAATCGAATGTGTCGGATGAAAATGACGTCTGAAGGTTTAGCCTTACAAAGTAGTAATGACGAAAACATTTGTATTCGCCTCTTTCATTTCAAGTAAAGTGGTTGATAACTAACAACATCTTTAATTACTGTATAAAAAATAATAACAATCTTTAATACAATTTTTTTATAATTTTAAAAATTACATTATTATGGTTTTAAAAAAAGTACATTATTATACATAATAAGTTTATTAGTTTTTATAATAAATGACTAAAAAATTATACAAACATAATTTATAATTAATTGACATTGTTATTAAATTTTAAAAAATTATTAAAAATTACAAAATTATGATTCATAATATTTACACTCTCTTTATTAAAATTTATAAAAAGAGATTAAATAAAAAAAACGGGTCACTTAAATTATAATTTTAATAAATTTAATTGATTTTAGAGAAGGTTTGGAAAGTGAAGTGGTTTAAAATTGTGGAAGCCAGACAAGAAGAAATGATAATGCAAGTTGTGGTGAATTTTATAAAAGACGACAGAGGAAAGAATTTGAATGTAGTGCGCTCCAACGTTCAAATGCACCAAGGATCCTCGTGATTCATCAAACGGTCACAAATGTCCATGTGAACTTGCTTAAATAGATCAAAGCCTCGCTCGGTGTAAAATTTCATTTCATTTACAAGCCTTTTTTCTTCTCTAACTATAAATAAGAGACTGCATGCAGATCTCCAACAAAATTTTAATTTTAATTGAGACACACTTCCTTCATTTCCATCATCTTTATCATCATTATACCTTCTTGTCTACGTGAATAAACCAATGTCTGAGTGCTACTTTTTCCACCCTTTTCTTTTCTCACTAAATTAAACCCATAGCCCATCTTCTTTTCAAATTTCTTTTACTCTCTTCCCAGATCCCAACTTCACTTCAAACCTTGATCTGATCAAGACCCACCTTCCAAAAATGCAACTTGGGACACGGGTATTACACCTTGTTCTCATATTTTCACTTCTCAGTGAGTTCTCAGAAAGTGTGGCTCCAATCTGCTCAGAACAAGACAGGGCCTCTCTTCTGAGCTTTAAAGCAGGCATTTTGCAGGACACAACAGATACACTCTCTACGTGGACAAGCAGAGACTGCTGCGATGGTGGCTGGGAAGGAGTTCAGTGCAATCCATCCACAGGGCGAGTAAACATGTTGCAGATACAAAGACCAGAGAGAGACGATGAGACATACATGAAGGGCACTCTTTCTCCCTCACTGGGGAACTTGCATTTTTTAGAGGTAATGGTCATAAGTGGTACCAAGCATATTACAGGACCAATTCCTTCTAGCTTCTCAAATTTAACTCGCCTCACTCAGCTAGTTCTGGAAGACAATTCCCTTGGAGGATGCATTCCTCCAAGTTTAGGTCGTTTGTCCTTGCTCCAGACCCTTTCACTCAGTGGGAACCATCTCAAAGGACAGATCCCTCCAACACTTGGGGGTCTTAGAAACCTTATCCAACTTAATTTAGCAAGAAATTCTCTGACAGGTCCTATCCCTCTTAGTTTTAAAACCCTTGTTAATTTGCAATACCTTGATGTCAGCTACAATTTGTTATCATCAACCATCCCAGATTTTGTTGGGGAGTTCAAAAATTTGACTTATTTGGACTTATCTTCTAACCTTCTAACAGGAAAAATTCCCATTTCCTTGTTCGGCCTTGTCAATCTTTTAGACTTGTCCTTGGGCTATAACAAGCTCGCAGGGAACATCCCAGATCAGGTTGGAAATCTGAAATCTCTGACAAGTCTTCAACTCAGTGGCAATCTGCTCACAGGGCATATTCCACTGTCTATATCAAGATTACAGAACCTTTGGTACCTCAATGTATCCAGGAATTGTCTTTCAGATCCCTTACCAGCAATCCCTATCAAGGGAATCCCTGCCCTTTTGTCCATAGACCTGTCTTATAATAATCTCAGCCTTGGAAGTGTTCCTGATTGGATCAGAAGCAAGCAACTCAAAGATGTCCATCTAGCTGGGTGCAAATTGAAGGGAGATCTCCCACACTTCACAAGACCTGACTCCTTGAGCTCCATAGACCTATCAGATAACTACCTGGTTGATGGTATTTCAAATTTCTTCACAAATATGTCAAGCTTACAAAAGGTCAAGCTCTCAAACAACCAGTTGAGGTTTGATATTTCTAAAATAAAATTGCCATCAGAGTTGTCTTCCATAGACTTGCATGCAAATCTGCTGGTGGGTTCGTCGTTGTCAACAATCATAAATAACATGACAAGCAGCTCATTGGAGGTTATAGACGTATCAAACAATTTTATTTCAGGTCACATTCCAGAATTTGTGGAAGGCTCGAGCTTAAAGGTGCTAAACTTGGGGAGCAACAACATATCAGGTCCAATCCCAATTTCTATCTCAAATTTGGTAGAACTTGAGAGACTGGACATTTCGAGAAATCACGTGGTGGGAACCATCCCTTCAAGTCTAGGTCAGTTGCTGAAACTACTATGGCTTGATGTATCCATAAACAAATTAACAGGGCAAATTCCAAGTAGTTTTTCCCAGATAACTGGTCTAAAGCATGCAAGCTTCAGGGCAAACAGGCTGTGTGGTGAAATACCACAAACTAGACCATTCAACATCTTTCCAGCAGTTGCTTATGCACACAACTTGTGCTTATGTGGCAAACCTTTACAGCCATGCAAGTGATGAAAACAAGGTAGTATGGGTCAGTTAGGTGCTGACTCTGTAATAGTAGATGTGCTCATGCCTTGTGACCATTGTTACATGAGCAAAATAGAATAGGCACCACCACATTTGAATTATTTCTTTTCAAGGTCGACCACAATGCTTTAGTTCTATTTTATAATTCAATATTGTTTTAATAATATATGCTCTCTTTTACAACGTGCTTTATATTTTAGATTAGAATAGTCTCAACGGCTTCTTTTGTTGTATGGGCACACTAAAATATGACAGCAAAAAACCCTGTCACATGTAGACATTGCTTTTAAAGGTTGACCAAAACGCTGAAGTTCACCATGACCTCAAAATATCTTATCCAGAAAAGCGTGGCGTGAATCAAGCCAACAAAGCAAAGCGATTCGTACCAAATACAACGCACATGTCAATCTCACAAATAGCTATGACCACACACCATACTACATTATCAATTGCCCCAAACATGTTCAACAAAGAATCAACACTCAAAGGCAACAAGCCTCTTGTAGAAATGTAACTACCATTCATGAATATTTCAAGAGAGCATTACAAAAAACAAAATATGGTTGTACGGTGATTTCAGTAGCATTTAAAAGAGTAACCTAAATATGAAAATCCAACTAAAACTTGTTCCAAAATTTACAACCCTAATTTGTCTAAACAATCAACTGGTCCTTCCGATAATAGTTATCAGGTTCAAAGAGTGGTAAAACACCACCATTACTCCTCATCTGTTAACTCCTCTTCCACTTCTTTAGCAGTGGTTTCCTTATCAGACCCAGCTTGATCCTACACCAAAAGCAACACAATTATAATGAGGAAGAATTGACAATTAACATCATCACATAGAGCACAGTGAGAAGCAAAGAATTAAACTTACCTCTTCATTTTCCCCAGCTCTATAGCTTTCCATAGCCTTCTCATACTCTGCCTTGAGTTCGGCAACTTTATCTAAATAAGGCTTCTTCTCCTGATCAAAACAAAGCGTGTATCACAACAGTTGGTCTTCATCACACAATTAAACTTGAAGAAACACTTGAACCAAAACACAACATTTAACTTACTTCATCAGTCATAGACTTCCACTTCTCACCAGCCTCTTTACCAACCTGTAGTTTCCCAGCAAAAAAGCAAACCAATGAATCCCAGCACCAATGGACTCAATAAAACAAAATCAAAACATGTGCTTACCCGCTTAACATCCTTTGAATCAGGGTTAGCTTCCTTGAAAGATTTTCTAAAATCATCCCTGCAACAAATCATCACCTAAGTCAGGCACTCAAGCAAAACCACAGCATCAATTACAGCACTAACAAGAGCAAGAAAAATAATCCGTACAAAAAGGCAAAGAAGGCGGTGGGAGGACGCTTAGGCATGTTTGGATCCTTGACCTTCTTCCCCTTCTCAACTTTGGCCTTTTTTGCCTTTGGCTCATTAGATTTGGGCTTCTTCCTATACAATCTCAAAAAAAAAAAAACGACTGAATAAAACAATGCTAAAGAACTAGCATAAACACATTGAAAAACTAAGTAGGAAGCAGAAAAACCACCTCTCAGGCTTCTTAGCTTCAGCAGTCTGTTCAACAACCTGAGCATCTGAACAACAAAATAAATCCAAAAATTGCAACAAACCAACTCAAAAATACGGAACAAGTATAAATGAGAAAAATAAATAAACACGTAAACCGATTTTACCTAGGTTCATTTTAATTTTAGCTTCCAGGCTGCAATTGTGCATGTTGATGAGTGCCACCGGCACATTCTTCTTGCATTCGTCACTGCAAATAGACGAGGAAAAAAAAAAGAAAAAAAAAAAAGGACGCACACATCAATAAACATCAATAACAAAACCTGAAGCAAAATACGCTTCTGAATGACATCGCATCGTTAACATAAGACATAAACAGCATATCACAATACACAGATTTAAAACCTGATAATCTAGTATTAACAGCAACGCGCATGAGTTAAAACTAAACGTTTCTAACGAATCGATTAGAAGTGTTAAGAGAGAGCAACGAACCATCGAGCGAAAGCGCTGCCATCTTTGGCGCGAACGAGAACGGAAGCAGATCGAGCATCGACAGCGTCAACTCTCTTCCTCGATTGCGATGCCATTTCGTATCGAAGCTTCACAGTGCCCTCACTCACCCACTGGCAGATTTGGAAGTGTAGGTGCCAAAGATTCTAATTGGGAATATATAGTATCGAATGAAAGGAGGGAAAAACGAATAGGCATGTTTTCCGTTTTAGCGCCAATAACCGCGCCTTTTCCATTCACGCTCGCGCCCATCCTTTTTATTTTATCAAATCACCCATCTAACTTTTTGGGCCAATATATCTTATATTGGGCCCGTTCGTCATTTTTTTAAAAATAATCCCGTGCAATATTGGGCCACTTTACTCGGCCTCACTTTTAATACCGTTTTCTTGACTCCGCTGCCAAACAGTACAAAGATCACGTGTTTCATTTTCACCTAGCAAGCATATTTCAAAATCAATGTTATTTTCTTTTCTAGATATATAATACAAATTCAACTGCTGCATTCTTTCCAATGGGATAATCATCAACATTAAAGAAGATAAAATGAATATAATTTAATTAGAGTGTATTAAGAGCGTAAATGTTTTCATTATACGATTTAATCATAAATTGTCATATATGTTAAAATTATTGAATCTTATGATAATTACATTAACAATTATATCCAAAATGATTTATAGGTAGTAATAATGTAAAATATTTTTAATTTATATTAAAATAGACATAGTTGTCTTGAAGCAAGAGATTTGTATAGTGAGAAAAATAAATATTTATTCCTCGTTAATTTAAATTTAAAATTTCTCATTTTCACAATTTATTACCTTTTTTGCTTTAAAGTTTATAATAAAAAAATACTACCTAATTCACCAAGATTAAGAAAAATAGTTAATCTAATTAATAATAATAAATTTATCTTATTTTTATATTTTTTCTAAAAGTTATTATACTACTTTTTTCTTTTAATTAATATTCACTTCTCTCTTATCTAATGAGAAAATATGTCATACACTACTTCTCTCTTATAATTAATATAATTTACTCTCTTAATAATTTAATGTATATATTTTAAAAAGTTTATAATTAATATATTCTAATAAATTAAGAAAACATATTTTAATTTAAAAAAAATTAATATATCAAATATTATAATTAAATCTTACAAAAAAGAATAAATAATTATTTTAAGTTGATTCTTATAAATAAAAACGGATGTAATGGTTTTTTTCTTATTATAAACTTTGAAGCAGCAAAGAGACAACCAACAAACAATTATCAATTTATGATTTTGCCAAACAAAAACAAAGAGACCGTGACTGGGCGGGAAATTAAAATCTAAGAACATCTCCGATGAGCAACTCTCAACCACTTTAAACGAGTTTCACTATGTCACGTCACTCTTAACTAACTCATATTATATTTTTACAAGTTTTGCTCCAATGAAAATTGCTTATAAACACCCCTACTTTTTTATAACTCATACTACACTTTTTGACACTTCACACTACACTTTATTATAAATTTTTAAAAAATTAATTATTATAAATAATATATAAATATGAATAACAAATAAAAGAAATTACATAATAAAAAAATTATAATAATAAACAAAAAGTAGCTTAGTATATCCTACTATAAAAAATTAAAAGACTATTTTATTTGAGAAAATATTTTCTATTTTTTATCTTTAAAAATAATTTTTATTTTTAAATTTTTAGATTTAAAAAATTTGTTTAGTTTGAGTTCCATATTCCACGTAGATGAATTTCAACCAATGAAATTCTTATTCTCAGTGCTAAGGACTTTGCTTGTACAAGCAACTGAGAAAAAAATTTAAGAAACTCAGTTGCCATGTAGGATAACTCCAATGGCAGTTTCTAACAAGCACCGTTGCTTATCAATAAGCAACACACTAAGCACCTGTCGTTGGAGGTGTTGAGTGTGACTTACTGACATACTGTGATGTATTTATTTTAAGAGTTTAGAGTTTAGTTATTTAGTTATTTAGATAAAACTATATTTAGTTATTTAGTTATTTTTTCTTGTGATGGTATTTAGTTATTTAATATAGTTATTTAATTAACTATATTTTTTCTCGTTTCTATAAATACCATATAAAAAATATTATATATTGATCCTATAATGTAGTTTAATTAGTTATTTAATTACAAATTATCATGAATAATAAATTTATTAACTCATATAATAAGAATTTAATAATTATGCATTAATAATATTTAGTTAATTGATTCAAATTTATCATTTATATAATTTTAAAAGCTACTTATTGTATAAAAAAAAAATATGTACTCTAGTAGTTATAACTAAACGAGGGTATTTTTTATTAAGTTAATCATCATGCACTGTTAGTGTAAAATTTTATACACTGACAACTAATCATATCTTTTAAATTATTTTATTTTATTAAATAAGTAACTAACATGATCCTATTAAAAAATATAATTAGTTATCAATGTAAAAAAAATTTACACCGACAATATATAAGTGATTAACTATTCTTTATTATGCATAACTTTTCATCTTACAATACTTCCTTTAAAGATATCACGATGTTTATTATTAATGTAAAAGTTGTTAAACTTATCATGAATGAGCATTAACATTTTTATATATATTTTGTCCATACATTAACATTTATATGTGAACTTGGTACCCATTTGATTTTCAGCATATATTAATAAAAAAAAGGAATGTCAAACTTCCCCCAGCCAAATTCATTCGACATCACAATTCCCATGTCAGAAGCTAGAAAACAGAACCTCATAGATGATTATGGTTTTCATTCAACCACATTATGTCAAAATTGCTACCACAATAAATTTTTACTTTTTTTATATACGAGGATTAACATTTGATTTCCGACTTAGTATGAAATTGGAACCAGAGTTATTATTTTATTCTAATATGAGTGAATTATTATTTTATTCTAATACGAGTAAATTCAGTGAGAATGAGTTGTATTTTTTAATTATAAAAAAATAAAAATGAAAAATAATGTTTTGACAGTCTTGATGAAGCCAAGCGAATTACGAACACTCACTCTCCTCCGTGGATTTGAAAAGCTCTCTTAGCTCGTGTATTTGCTTTTACTTTCTTTTCTGGCTTCTAGTATGTACTTCTACTCCTTTATTGCACAAAAGATATTATTAAAAAATAACAGAAAAATGTTTTTATTAAAAATTACACTAAGAATACATTAATGGTATTGAATATTTATAACTCGTTACGATTTTAATTAACCATTATTTTGTAAAATCAAAGTAGTTAAATTAAATTTAAAAATAAAGTAAGGAGTTGACATAGTCTGAGTCTTTTTTTTTATTGTTAATAGATAAAAAAAATTAAAATAAAGTAAATTTATGTGTAGAAAATTTCATCCGCAGAGCTTTCTCGAACACGATAAAAAAATGTGGTTTAAAATTGATAGGGTGCAATCAAAGTTTCCATAGTTTCATAGATTATATACACAAAATTGATAAGATATTTTTTAGGTGTTGACTTAAAATAAAACTATAAAATTGTATATCCAAAATAAACATAAACAGAAACGCATACAGTATCTCCGATTTGAAGACATGTGTATATGTTTTATACGGTGCACAACAAAACTCAATCCAAAATATTTTCCTTCAAAAAAGAAACCCAAACCACAGCATCATTCTATTGCAGATAACTCTACAATAAGCTTGTAAAGAAAAGAAACAGAGACCACAGCATCATTCTATAATGCGGACAACTCTGCGATAAGCTCGCAATGAAATTAACTTGAAAGTTGTAGATACTTTGTCAAAGAGTGAGTTGAAACAATAAAAACAATGAAATTAACTTCACTGTAAAATTCCCTTACTTAACTTGTAATGTAAAATCAATTTTGATTTAAAATGTCGAAACAGTTTTTCTAAAATCACGTTTCCTTCCTCCAATCATCTAACGGATCCACCACCTTCCCTCCAAAGTCCAAGAAGACGGCTTCTCAAAACCATGCACTCCAACAAGCCAAGACTTAACTAGTTCGTAAAGTGAGTGTCTTTAGCAGAGAAAATAAAAGTCTCTTTGGCCAAGAAAGATAAAGAAAGCAATATTCAAAGACAGCAACAGAAGACAATAAGTAGTTAAACAGAAACAAAATTTATCTTCCCATTTAGTACATACATGAAAAGCATGAGGAATAAGGAAGTGTACACAGAACCACGAAGCAGAAATTACACAAGACCAAGAAACAAAAAGAAACAATTAAGTTGAAGTGATGGATGACGACCCTCTAACTAATCCTGGTCAAGTGTTGTGGTTGTTAGTTTGCGTAGGGCAAAAGAACCGAAATTGAAGTGGCCATCGTCAAAGTTGAGGGAGTAACTAAAAGGGTCATAGTTAAAGTTGTTTTTGTTTTTATTGGAGCGTGCCTTCTTTATTTGCCTCCTTACATCTGCTCTCACCCTCCAAAACAAACTCCTCAGCCTTCTCTTCCCATGCACAGCCACCAAACAGCAACAACACATCACAACGCCCGTGACCATCCCCTCTTCCCACAGCAGAGAGAATAGAAGAGAGATGAAAGCAAAGTGTGAGTGAGTTAATGCTGCACTACCATTCATATATACCACAAGAGAATGATGTAAAGGGAGGGAGTTTTTTGTCTTTATGTTTGTTTGGTCCTTCTTAGAACGAGGGTATATTGTTCAACTTAGTTCTAGGAAATGAGAAGTAATAATTTAATTTCAGTTGTAGCAGTAGTGGCGGTGTGGTTGATGTGGCAGTAGCAGTGGCAGAGGATAGTAGTTGTTGTTGCTTTGTTCTCTCCAATGTATTGTCGCTGCCTTTGAGGTCATACGGCGCAGCGAGAGGACAGAAGTTTAGTGGTAGGAGTTGATTCATGTTTAAGCAAGATCAGAGGTTTGAATCCTATTTTGTGTATGCAGTCGCGTTAAATTTTGAGGCTAGCTATTTTATTCTTTGAGGTGTTTCCAACCTAGTGAGAAGACTAGTCACTACTATCAACGATGGATACTCCAAGATGAAAAAAAAAAAAAAGAGAAAAGAAGGGGTCATGAGTCTTAACCGGGTAAACAATGGTATAGGTAGCACATGGACATGGGTACGGTAGCCACAGAAGCTTTCACAGACGCTTTGTC